AGAATTGAAATTGCTTTACTAGAACGGGAGTTATAAAATTTTAAAAATGCACAGTTTTTATTATAAAATTACTATGACAAATTTTTTCAATAAATTGATCGACAAAATTTTAAAAATCTTTATTAGTGGGCCAATCATATAGTGCTGGACTATGATAGTTAATCATTTGGTATTGTTACGTAACAAAGTTTCACACTTAAACTTTGCGTGTGTAACATTTATACTTGTATATACTTTTATGTGTAACATTTTAGTAGTTTATGCGAAGTATAGAGCATACTTTAATTAGTCTTTAAATAGTCTATAGCTTATTTTAGAGTTTATTCATAGATATATATAGAGCGTTATGTATTTTAGTTCTTAGTTGTCTTTAGTTTGGGGAAGTCAGTCAGTCTTTTAGTGAGTTCTAGGATTTTAGGGATTTAGTGGATTTGTATTTGGGGTTTTAGTGCGTTTGGAACGTACTAGATTGGTTAGTTTGGAAAGGATATTTGTTCTGTTAGTGTCTGGGACACATTGGTTTAGTAGTTTCTGGTGCCTTTGTGTGTTAATAAAACATTCAGTTCATTTCTATTAATGCTTACGGCCCTCTGCTAAATTGGCTAAGTGGATCCGAAGTCTCTCCCCTGACCGTAACAGTATCTAACACGGGTTTACTAATTTCCCCCCCTAGTTCCTATTGGACGAAGAAAAATCCTGCTGTTCGATCAAATAATAAAAGTATCGTTGAAATGGTAGAAAGGTTGAATAAAACATATATTATAATAAAATTTTGCAAGGAATTTTTTTTGTTAGAACACAAAAGGTGGTTATGTAACCAAAATTTTAAGTTACTAGCGATTTTTGAAAAAACTTCAAAAACTTCGATTTTTTTTGAAAATTTCATGTTACACCTGATCTTAAAATTTGATTGGTAGACGAAGAGTGGCGTAGTCTACTTTGTCCAATCAGAGACGGCATTTACAGATGTCCAATCAGAACTGGGGGGAGAAATTAGGGATCCCATCTAACACCCTATGCAGTAGATCAGCTGACTTTTAAATGCGTGACTATTTTTTTTATATGATCAAATGATTATAGCAGTAACAAATGCCGGACAATAAGACAATAAGTACTTGTTATCGGGCAGCTTACTATGATTTATCTGCCCAATAATTTTATTATTGGGCAGAAAAAAAAGTTTAAAATAGTTTAAAATAGTTAAACTATCGTTTCTACCCAATAATAAATTATTAGGCAGAAAATTATAGTAAGCCACCCGATAAATCCGTTATCAGGCATGCTGATACTGACTTATAACTTAATTATTTGGTCAAGGATTTTAAGATCAGCCTAAGAAATTGAATTCCGAAGGAATTCAATTTCTTAGTCTGATCTTAAATCCTCGACCAAATAAACCAGTTATCAGGCAGTGCCTGCCTGATAACTATTTATTATTGGTTAGGTTGTGGATGATAACTAGGTTACTATATAAATCACGTGACTTAGCACGTAATTTATATTGTTCCCTACGAATAATCAGTTTTCATTACAACTTAACTGATAACATTTTTATCTAATCATTTAACTCTTACTCTTTTGTTAATTTCGCTTACTTTTCATTTTCGCGCACCGGTTTTTTCTTTTTACACTTGTTTGTTTTTTTTCATTCGCTCAATTTTTTTTCTTAACTTTCATATGAGTTTTATGCGAGTTTCACAGCTTCCTACGCAAGAAGAAATAAAATCAGAAAAATGTTCAAAAAACTAATTTATTACATGATTAGAAAGTGATCGAATAAATCGAATAATATATACAAAAAACGTCCAGTGCGCACATAGGACATGTCGGATAATTAAATTTCCTAAATCTATAATTTTATTTGCTTAGTCAACAAGCATGCAAATTTATATCTGAAGCTTGGAAAGTTGGTAAATAATCATTATATTCAGATATTTAATTTGAAGGACATTTTATTTACTAAATTTTTGTTTATATTAAGGTGAGACCAATTTATTAACTTCTATGATCTATGATCACTAATTATATTTTATAATATAAATATAATTATATGAAAATATCCTATAATAGACACATCTCTATATAATCGCCAATTTCTGTATCCTGAAGTATCCCGAGGATGTGATTATATAGTGGTTAGACTAATTTGAAATACTTCATATTCATCTACAGAAAAATAACCATCGCTGGATCTGATTCTAATATTATAATTATTTTTATCACCATAGAGTATTGAATGATATTGCCATTTATTAGGAGAAAAATAATCACTCATTCCAAAATGATAAAACCATGGGCCACGGTCTTGATTATCATAATAAATTGCTTTCGATGGATCTGTTACACGGCTAAGAATAGATTTTTCAGGGTTTTCACCGTTTAAAGAAAAAATAAAGCTATCAGATGTTTTGGACCACGTGACCTGTTTACAATCACCCCATTTAAGAGGATTATATCCACCGAGTATCTCATTTGTATTTTTAACTTTTAAAACAACCAACGTAGAAGATTTTTCATCACAAAGATCATGAAACCTGTCACTTGTAAACCCATCTCTGCTGCCTCTAAATACTAATTCGAATTTATATGGAATTTCCGCAACATCATATGGAGGTGAACATCGATCAATCCAAGAAGAGATCACTGCAGCATGCCTTACAGTAATAATATGAGAAAATACTTTGTAATCGACATTAAGATCTTTAATTAATCCCGTTTCTAGATCGTAAATCAATCCATGTATAACGATGTTAACACCATTATCCCATGCTTTTTTGACAATATTTGTAGCAGCAATATTGCGAACTTGTTTTTTGACGTTAAGTTCAGATAAAAGGTTCTCACATTCTTTTGATGGTTTATCATCAAGTTGGAATTTATTAGACAAGTAAATCTCATTAAGATCTTGCAGCTACTGTTGTTAGGCAAAACTATTTTTGGCAAATGGCAAAAATCGAAACTAAATCCGGCAAAAGTCAAAACTGGCAAAACTCCGGCGAAACGGCGAAACTATGGCAAAATGGCGAAACTCTGGCAAAACCTTGGTAAAGCTAAAACGCCTGGAGAAAGTCAAATACAGCGAAGATCAAATCCTCTAAGACTTTAGAAAGACTGAGCCATGTTGGTAAATTAAAATATTTTGTGTATGGCTATTAAGCACAGCATGTGA